TAAAAAGCTAGCAAAAGCTACTTCATCCTGTTGCTGTGCCGACGATTCAGGCCCAACCAGAAAAAAATTCTTCCGAGGTAAAAAAGCGACTATTGCATTCAGCAGACAGCGAAGATCCAGAGGTGATTGACCGCGTACTGAGAAACGAACGAGGAGAAGTAGAGCTCTTCAAAAGTTGGAAGTTAACAGGATAAGTACCAAACTGATTTATGCGGAGACCTCCAGATTTTAAGTTTTCTAAAACCACCTTTCTGTCTCAGCTGTTAAAAGATTATGGGGAAGCTAGTTGTTCGGGAGCCAGTGATGAGCCCAAAAAACACTGACCTGTTTGAACCTTTGCCGGAAACCGAAACACGTATCAAGAAAGAATTCGTTGATGTCGGTATACAATGCGATCTGGAATTGAGTTGGTTAAATATTCCTCGAACACCTACGGCGAGTGTGGGTGAGACAAAAATCTGTCAAAAGAAATCTTCGGTGAGAATCTTTTCCAGCCCCGCTTGCTGCTTTCTTTGAGAAACCCTGCAAAGAAGTAGTAGGAGAATTTGTGTCACGGTTTACAAAGCGGTGAAGTTGTAATCAAAGGTAGTTAGAAAAACATTTTTATACTTTGAATAGAAATTAAAAGATCCACAGTTCAGCTTGCGAGACTATCTCTCCATATTTCCAATCGATGGAAACACAAACAGGTTCGATAATTATATAAATACAGGTCACACTCGAAAATTTTCACGTTACAACTTGTTTATGAATAATAATACTTCGGAGATGAAGGAAAGCATTACATAAATATTTCCTATCGAACAGGCACAGCCGCTAGTGCTGTAGGACATGAATAACTATGATCTGCCGTGTACCTTTGTTTCTGTCAAAGGTTTGGTGGTTTTAATCCAGTGTAAGAAGTTCCAAAATCAGCTGGAAAAGTGCTTCGATTTTATTTACCGCACTAGATGGCAGGGCGACCCTGACATTTTTGCCGAGATAACCTCAGCACCAGCGATCCAGTTGTCTGTAGGCAATGTAGCGAAATTTCCCCCCAGGAGAGAGAAAAATAACTAGCTCTAGCACTGTGTTATTTAATCAATAGCACAAACAACTCCAGCAAATCGATCTCAAAAACAGATTAAAATAAAACATTTCGTTTACTCGTTTTGGGTGGTATTATCTGCGCCGTATTGCTGCCTGTACGTTTAATAGGCCGTCTCCAGCACCCAGACATCGATGCAGGTTGGCTGAAAACCTGAATACTCAGTAATACAACTCATTTGGGTTTCCGGCCTCTGTTCCTCCACCTTTTGCCACACTTGCCCGATTTCCGCACAACAAACACTTTCATGTGTTGTCGGCATTGGCTGACAAGTCCACACTAGCACCTTTGACAATTTTATATAAAACACCCACGGACGCTCATGTTAAAAAACTTCTGTTGCATTCTTTTAGATTGGAAACTTGCTTTATTAAGTTTTCATGTCAAAAACAAATAAATTACACAATGAATTAAATACCAGTCTGTGTTTCCGAGACGATCGGCATCGCTGTCAACCGGTTCTGTGCTGTTTTCGTGCGGATCGTTTAGGTCAACTCTACGCGGCTCATATTGATAAGAACGTGGCCCAGACTCTCTAAAGGTTCTGAGTTATCCCCATCGCTGTCAAATAAGTTTAAGGCATTCGAGTCGCTTCCCTCTGACAAAACATCGTCCGAACTACTGCTACTTGAAAGAACTGCCATACCAATGCTACAGTGAAGTCCGTGTTGCGCAATATTTTAGTTCCACCGCTTATGTCACGACCTAATAATAATAATATTAATAATAATAACGAATATTTATACAGGATAGCCCTTCAGTGCAGGAGCACTGTTATCAATGGGGTCTTGTCTAAATAACATAATATAAGGATAAAAACTAGAATAAGATAAGTTGACTACGCACCTAACTAAATGCCCTATGCAAAAAACTGATCTAAAGACTCCCTAAATGGTACCCTACTGCTAATTTGCTTGATTTTTAAA